AAATAAATTACAACATGATATATACTTAAGTTTGAAATTGCAAATATTTGCATTTATTTTTTGGACATTGAAATAATTGCATGCATTAACTTTTCAATTTCAAAATTGTAAATGTAGCATGCAAAGTGACATGATTAAAATAGCAATAAGTTTACATGAATTGATCATTGTCTAACTTGATTATTAATTTCAATGATGATATAGGTAAATTAAATATTTTTTAGGTTATTTTTTGTTTGTAAAGATATTGAGACACATTATCATTTTATTTGTTTAAAAATTCATTAGATGAGAAATAATTTCACAATTATGTTTAATAAAGATCAGATTGTGAATTCAGTGTTGTTTATTTTGATGTACAATAATTGCTAGGGAGATGTATATGAATGTTTAATTTTAAGAGTTTTGTGAAAGATTTGACATATTTGCTATATATAGTTACAATAAATTTCATCTATCTTGGTAATGAGAATAATAAACGTGTTCTTATACTTAAGTTTTTCTTGAAAATTTTAAGGTAAATATATTTTAAGTTGACTCTCTCTTTATTATATTTCTATTGTACAACAAAATGTTTCATAATTTACTCACTAAGTAAATGATCATGATTTGTAAACACTCATTGGAATTTAAAGTTACTTATGTCGATACGATAATCGTGAACTATGATAAATACAATTTGCATTACATAAATTTGAATCTAAGTGAACGCACATAACATGAATGGAAAAAAAACTCTAAAATGATTTGTGATGATCTCAAATATGAAATTCTTGAGGTAATCATGAATGAATTCTTGATTTTTTGGAAATCAAAAAATCTCAAGACGTTTGAGTGAAAGACTAATGAAAATCTTTGAGGGTCATACAGTTGTATGCAACGATTAATTATATATCAATTACCCACACTGTGATTAAAGCATAGTTTGTTGAGTATCGAAATCCGATTTTGAAAAGAGAGTTGCGGATAAAAGAACGTGATGCTACTCTCATGAGCAATCCGTCATCCATATGCCTGTGAGAGAATTAAACTTAACATAGTGGAGAAGGGTGTAGTGACTTTGTAGAGAGATTACCATTACTTTTAGTGTCCAACGGAGCATCGCATCGCTTTATTGCATAGGTAATGATAGTACTTTAAGTCGTGGAGTTCAGACACAACAATAGTAAGGTATCAGAGAGATGCTTGCACAGACTTTATTGCCTTCATCCTCTGGTCAATAGCAAGGACTAGCATGTTGGACATGTGGAGGTGATCATCTGTAGAGAAATTATTTCCAAGAGGACGGATGACGGAGTGTAGAGGCTAGACCTCAATTGGTACAAGTTGTATGTGACAATTGTGGCCAAACGGATGATCCTTGAGAACGTTTGGCTATTGATCTTCATCTAGAGTTGTGATCTAATGATAGAGGTCTACAATCACCGGGTTGATTTTCACTCAAGTTTATCTCAGATTGTTTTGCGGTAAGTCATCATGGTTCTAAAAGGCTAGAATTCTTCCTCATAATCATATACCACACATCCTCTCACGCATTACTTCAATTCATCATTCAAATTCACACACATTGACACTTCAAGATTTTGAAAAAAACATCACTCTTTCATATATGAAACAATTCTCTACACATGAAATCTCCAAACTTGCTTGAAAGTTTCTTCATTACTTTTCTATATATACTATTTGAAAATTAAATGTAGTAACAAATGGTAATTCTTATTTAACTTACTTTAAAAAAATAAACCATAGTAAATTTGACCAAATACCAATACGTGTCAAAATGTCATTGGTTTACTAAATCTTCTAAATGTTTACTAATCACTAGATTGATGTGGCGACATGTTATTAGTGACTTTTTAACTTCTAGAACCTCCACTTGCCACTAAGTCAACATTAGATTTAGTCTAACCAGTCAAAACTAAACATAAAGTCAAAAGTATTTTCTTTTGAAATCTAGACTTTTGTACAAAACAAAATAGAAACGTTCAATCAAATCTTCTAAAAAATTTCTAGTTATTTTGCCAAGTATAGACATTATAGCTGAACATAGTTATAACTTGATAAACTTAGTCATAACTAGATAGATTTAGTTAAACCCAAGCTAAACATGATCATCTTCTTAGCTACTTCTATAACTAGTTCACATATATAAAAACTGGTTTTATAAGTCGTGGCTGAGATGCTCCATGTGGCCGAGGTGATAGAGGTGTTGTTGCAATTAGAAAATTCGTAGTGGATGCTTCTTCTATCACAGAGACCGCTATGGTTGCTCAGATTGAGCACTTGGAGTAGAGATTTGCTACTTTGGCTGGTCTTGAAGCAGGAGCTTCCACTTCTCGAGCAAGTTCAAGAGTAGGATTGTCTACGTGTCATGGAGGAGAAGATTTCTCTCATTTGGAAAATGCAACATAGATTGAATCATCGGTTGTAGTGACGAGAGGTATTTCTTGTGCTTCTAAGCCACAGAGTGCGATTGTGGAGTTGGATCCTTAGAGGGGGTGAGGATGGAAGACCGGCTAGGCTTTGCTAGTCATTTTTGTTGTTAGAGGTGGGCAAAACTTCATCTATGATTCTTATGTCACCTAGTGAACCTATCGTGATGATGAAGACATTCATGTCGCATGCAGTGGACGGAGAAACATCATCTAGTGCAGTATTGTGAATGGCTAGTTCAGTGATGGAATCTTTATTGTTTTCAACCACAAAGCTGATAGCATGTGGGCTTGATTTGGCTCGTGTATTTAATATAAGAGTCACGTTGTGTGAACATGGAAGTATCACTGCTAACAGTGCAAAGGTATGTCAGGGTATTGATACGGAGCAATCTTCAACGCCTACATTGAGTAGCAATGTGATTCACACGTGACAGCAGCGAGTATGGAGTCATTATCAAGAGGATTGGCCCTGGTGTATGCATGGCGGACAACATGAGTGGTTTGTTTCGCTTGGTGAGTCCTACAGTATAATGCGTATGTCCGAGCGAGAGTGCTTGACTCTAGTGCATAGTCGTTGATGTTGGACAAGGCAACATGTATTAGTTTGGATGTTCAAAGGTTAGAGCTAGGGCTGTATTTATGAATATTTATTATATATGTGAAATAGTACTATAAGTAGTTAGTCTTAAAGAAATCTTTTTGATTTTTTGAGTTATAAATAAATCTAAAATTGATTTAGTATTCAAAATTTATATATTATAATCAATGTCTTGAGTCTATAACAATATATATATTAACTTACTTCAAGATTTTCATCCATAACACTTCTGACTTCTCATAAGCAAATGGATTTACTTCATCAAAGCATGAATCAACAAAATTGCCTCTATGAGCGCTTGAGCTTACGGTAAAAACTAAAAGACGGTGAGATCGTGAATCCTATACAAAGCTTAGATTTGTGTGTAAACAACATGGGCCCTCGTAATTCTTTAAGATGTACATTAGAAAGATCTGTACCTTTATTTTCTTTAGCTTTACCCCAAAAATACAGCAACTATTTTCCATATTAGTAAATCCATATAACTTAAGTAAGTCTTATTATCTTACACTAAGTATCGCATCAATTATTGATATGATAAAAGTATCAGAAAATGTATGCAATTAAGAATAAGTTTATATATGCATGAAGCAAAGCTTAGATATAAAGCTAAATAATATGGGCAATATTGTAACGTAGAAAGAACTAATTATTCATAATGAACATGGTTAATACTATATATGATAAATAAAAAAATTCTATTCATTTCAATTCCCACTGAGTTGGTTTATATTCATATTTTATGCTTATTATACAATTATAGTTAGAGTCCATAAACAATAATATAGCAATAGCATTTAATCTACATTCCGGAATGTTGAATTCATTCAATAAGACTGGGAAGTCATGAGTGCAACACGGGTGAAACGGTATGATGACTGCACACGGAACATTTTGGTAGATGGAATTCGCCATATGATCCACAAACCTTCCGCGAGTATACATAGCGAAGTCAAACTCTTGTCCAGTTCCCACACAAAATGTGGGTGTAGTGTATTACAGGTCTCACCTTTGCTCTCAAATGTATCTACCACTGAACTTCATTGAATGTACCAAGTATTTCCATCATCAAAGTATTTGGAAGTTCGGGATGTATTTGTACAAGATATGAATTATGCTATATCATAAAGACTCAATGTACTTGTAGGTAGTCATTTACTACGACCGCTGAAATTTTGGTGCTCTTACCAATGACCAGCAAGAACTTCATACAGATATTGTGAGCTCTCAAGTCAGCCGTCAGGGTCATTCGCCTATTGCTACTCAGAATGTTCCGCGCTACTCTTTGAGAATGACGCATGAGTGTTTAAGTGATTAATGATATTGCTATTCAGAATGTTCCACGCTACTCTTTAAGAATGACGCATGAGTGTTTAAGTGATTAATGATCTTGCTAGTTTATATCAAAGAGAATAAATGTAAGACATATCATCATTTTGGACATCTCAATTAGATCCGAGGAGCCCTTCCTCCGTCTACCATCTTCAGTCAACGTTCTCCACGACTTATTCGGCGAGGAGCTGACACACAAGACTTCGCATTAACCACGAACAGGACACTGGTGACCTGTAACCGTAGCACGAGACTATTTAATATTAGCGTGTTCCCCAACTAGTACCATTACGAGTTCGTAATTGGAGGATAAGATCTCTACTACTAAAAATTGTAGTGGATTCAAGCTTCGGGTTAGGGTTTAGTTTTTAGATAGAAGTCTCAAATTTATATTGCAATTTCCGCTTTCCTGAGAATCCTTCTGTGACGTTGATCGTAACACTTCAGCCGAATATCGTGAGCAGAACAAGTCTAAGCTCTTCAAGCATATAATAGACAACCGACAGGTTTGCTTGGCGTCATATTAAGTCAAGCTCGACTCCTGAAAACACGGCTCGACTCGGCGAACAGCCACTAGATATACAGAGTGGTATCCTCAAGAGTGAAGCAACCACGGCTTTCGGTACATACATGTGCCAGATGAATGCAATCACTCTAAATTACAATCAAAGTTGCACTTGGTCAACAATAAGAGGCCCCGTCTCTAAAGATGCCCAGCAATTAATGAACTATGATTACAGAGAAATACATGCTTGCGGATAACAACCCCGTCCTATAAAACTTTCCCATGCACATGAGTCCAACAGAACCTGTGAGGAAAAAAGGTCCAGTTCAAGCTCATGTACATTGCGCTAGAGCATCTAGCAAGTGAACAGTGCTAGGAACAGGACTTAATGGCCACTATGAGCTGCGCTTTTGCACCCAATGCAAATGTATATCTCGCCTAAGAAAAAATTCTAAAAAAAGGGCATGCAATTTTGCCTTCTACTGCTTTTTTAAGCAGTAAGTAATTTTCTTGTCGACCAAAGTCCTCTATCCCTTTCCTTGATTGTCGAATTGAATCCAGAGTCGTCTCTGAAGAACAACCTCACTTATCCTGACAAAAAGTGTTGCTAAGGAGTACTTAGAGCACTCATTAAGACAGGAGTCAGCACAAGAAGCATGGAAAATCTTCATTAAGCATACATCAGTACATGGGCCCCTCAGAACTCAAAGCTGGTGTTCCACTTGTGATCGAAGTGGTGGTAATCATGTCGAGACCAGCATCCTTTAACCCCACCTCACTATAGCAGATCCCCAAGTCAGACCGGCTCCAAATCCGGCGGTGCCCACAATGTGGCCGGGTTGCACTTGTCCACTTCGAACGGCTTCGTCCAAAGCAAGAGGTATTGAGGCCGCACTTGTATTCCCGTAGTTAGCTAAATTGCTAATTACCTTGTCTGCTGGTATGTTCAAGCGCTCTGAGACTGAGTCCAGGATCCTCTGATTAGCCTGCATAACCTCCGCCTAAACATATTAGCCCTGGGTGACTTTTCAGACGACGACAAATACTTCAAAGAAGCGCGCGGGGAAAGACATGTTACAGACGTAGGAAGAGGAAACAAGTAGACTTTGAAACATTCTTTCTTAATTGCGACGCACAATTAGATCTAGAACATTACCTGATGAAGTAACAACCAGTCAAGATTATTTCCCGTGAGACCTGCTTCTTGAAGAGCAGCTTCGACAACCAATGGAACACACTTCACGGCAAAGCGGAAAACTTCCTTTCCATTCATTTCAAGGCATGTGTAATTTGCTCTTGAGGGAAGAGTTGCGTGACCATTGGTTGCACCATTTTGTAATCCAGACTTCGGCTCGGCCGAATCTAGTCGCACATGCAAGTGCCTGCACATTGGCAGGTCGTAAGATCCCCTTGAATACAAGATAACTAGTCGAAGATAAGGCTATCGGAGTATTAGATTTTCTACAACGCACTGAGTGGCACGAGCTTCAATCCTAAGTATCCAACAATGAACTCATCGAACGTGGTGCGACAAGCTTCCTATCCAATTTCGTAAAACTTTGTTAAGAACAAATCACATAAAGGAACCAGGTGCAAAAGGAGGACAGAGTATAGTACTTGTCTCCATTTCCATCGCTATGCAAGTCAAATCCGAGAAGACTATCCTGATCGTCATCGGCAGCCTGCAAAGAGCATAATAATCAAGAAGGGAAGTGTTACGAAACTCGGCCGAAAATGATTGAGTTTCTTTGACTTCGATTGAGAATAAAACAACGCACGAAACGAAACAAAAACGTGACTCTTGGTCTTGCAAGTTCAGAAGGACCAGCATCGACACAACTCTGCTCTGAAAAAACGTTATTACGATCGTCTACCTGCAGAAGTAGGGCACCCGATGCATCCCCAAACAGGATGCAAGTGCCCCTGTCTGTCCAATTTACGTATCTGGATAACGCATCTGCACCAATGACAAGGACATTTTCGTAGCCTCCACCTGCAAACACAAAATAGACGAGAATAAGCAAACTTCTCCCTAATCGTTAGGTAAGCTACCTGAGCTACATCAGGAGTGAAGTTTGAAGTTTCGTTCAGGGAGATTGTGTAGGACACGAGCAGGAGACGCATCTTGACCTTATACTTACCCTTGATGAAGCGAGTCGCAGTGACGAGACCCAACACGAAGCCACTGCAAGCCGCTGTCAAATCGAAGGCCAGAGCTTTTGTGCATCCGAGTTCCTTTTGCACCTGCGATCAAGACCAAAAATAAAACTAAATTTCGGCATTCACAACTGACGCATGCCACGTTCTTCGTGCTGAACGTTTTTTATATGTACTCGATCGCCAGCTGGACTCACCCGCATATAGAGAAAGCAAGAATCATGTGAGAGACAACCGCCCTAAAGACTGCTCCGACAGGTTATATAACACTTATTCAAATTAGACACAAATACTTGGAGAGCACAAATATTTGAATGGAGCTCTAGTCCTTCACCTGAGGAGCACTACCAAAAAGATCATCTGGCGTAGAGGTACAGAGCAGGATCAAGTCAACATCCTCAGGTTTTACGTTTGCCATTTCAAGTGCTTTCCTGGCTGACTCCACAGATAAGCTTGTAACTGTCTCATCCCCTGTATCAATCACATGATTTTCTGGTAAGAAATCGCAACACCGTTCTTTCCATCGACATTTATACCTACATACCAGCTAAAAGGCTGAGCAAGTGCTAAAGAACCCTGAAATATGCACACAAATGTCCTCACAATCACCAAGGGAAGACAGTATTCTATGACGTGAAGCCGGAAAACCTTTCGAACTGACTTTTCCAGCTGCTGGTGCTAGTCATACGTCCACAGTACGTTTCTTTCTTCGAGAGAAGAAACGAAACAACAAGAGAAAAGGGCGTCGAGGAGAAGCCATTTTCCAATAGAGAAGGAAAATAGCTCCATTTGCTTAAATAAGCTCGCCTACTAGGAAGATGGACCTATTTGCCTGTTCTTTCGACGCTCCGATGCTTCTAAAAAGCTGCACTTACAGGATAAAAGAATTACGTATGTTTTGTCTCCCAACGAACTTCTTTCTTGCCTCAGCTGTTCAACTACCTCTCACCTTTTTTCTACAGCCGATTGAGATCATTCGATCCCTGTCTGGCCTGCCTCATGTGTTTTTGCTAAGCCCCTTCATACTCAAAAACAGATTGGGAAAGTAAATTGCAGGCTTAGGTTAAGTTGCAGTTATCTCGAACTCGAGTGGAAAATTACTAATGGTCTCGTCACTACTTCCCCACAGCTTCGCCGTATATCACATTTGAGTTGCCGACTTTCTAGTTGGTTATGGAGGACTAATATGTCCGGACTTGTATCCCCTCTTATGTATCCATCCAATTAGATATATGCAGTAAATGGCTTGAAAAATCAGAGAGCTGTTGAACATCATTTCGCTTCACAACGCTGTTTATTAGTATTGACGCCTCCTACAACGTGTCTCTCTGAACTCAACGAGCATGAACAGAACGACACGCAACTATCTACCGTGTCTTGTGAAGATCCTAAATTCGGCGCACGCTCCAACCTCGTCTAGAGAAAGGAACGCCTCTCAAACTGGCGGATGTTATTATCACCTTGTGCGGAATCGCATTTGCTCGAGTGAGGAATAAAAAAATTAGAAGCCGTGTCCTGTAGTTTAGGGAGATTGCTGTCTTGCCTGTGATAACACGACGACTCTGAATGCCGGTGCGCACCCTGATCCATTCATCACTGGTTTCCACAAACTTCGAAAGTTCATCATTCGATATGACATGCTTTGGAACTGCCGATCCAGAACCTATTAATTTTGAACCTCTTCCGACGACCCTGTGAAGCAGAGAACGAAATGAGTGGGTGGATGGAATGGCGTGCTTCAAGTACTGTAATGTATCCAAATGTGGGCACAAAAACTCATGGAACCATGGCCTTCGTCGAAACCTCGATAGTGTAGGAGAGATCGAGGTAAATTCACCAAGAGAGTCGTCCAGAAGATTTTCTCAATTTCGACTGCGGACGAGAAAGACAAGTGGCAATAATCTAGTGCTTTGGTTCAGTCACATATCCCAACAAGCTGTTAAATAAACACTCCCGCAAAGTACCCTGTGAGTACAACTAAGCGACTTTCTACACGAATCGGCGACTTTCAAGAGAAATGTGACGGAGCTCCAATTGAACGTGTTAAATCTTTTACTGCAATGACCAGCTCATTCTCACAGTGGAAGCAGTTACCTCCGAGTAGTTCGAGCTGAGGAATTTCGTGCAGCATTGGTCTCCTCGGTGGTGCTGGACGTCGAACATCTCACAACGTCCAATCCGGTGGACGACGACATGCGCCTTTGGCCTGGTGTCTCAATGTACTGGAAAAACACCCGACATGGCGCCCTGCCGAGGGATGTGGGTACACGAGAATGCACAGCAAGTCCTTGCAAGCAAGCTGGTTGAGAGGTTGCAGCGGCTCCTGCCATCTCAGAACACGAATCCGATGACTGCTCCCTGACCCACTCTAGCAGGGAAGGATAGTTGTCGACATAAAAGATTTTCCAACCATGTAAAACTCCCAACCAGGAATGACCTACGCAGCCAACCTGTCCGCTTCCAAACAGCAAGCTCGTCGCTCCAGCGCTCCAAGATGATGATCCCTTCCAGCCGGGGCAAGGGAACGATGCGCTACTTTTTGTTTTTCGGGGCTCCGACTCAAAGATCCCTTCCCTCAGCGGAAGGAGATCGCAAATTGACCCTCCCCGGGGACCAGCGCCACACCTGTCTTGGAAGCACCCTTCGTTACGACCCGAACGGCTGAGGGCGGGGGCGGGGCCGCGGGCGGGTAATGCACGAGGCCAATCCTAAAACCAATTACCGATGAATGAGAATAGGCCAGTGGAATTTACGCAGGTGAAAAGTTCGAAAAACGAAATTGAAAAGAAGAATATCTCTCCACTCCTATCTCTGTCTGTATCTCTCTCTCTCCCTCTCCCCCCCGCCCCTCGTCCTCGCCCTGGCCCTCTCACCACCTCCCCGCTTCCCTCCCTCCTTCCGCTGCGCAACGCAATGCGGGCGGGCAGCTGCAGAACAAATGGCCGCCGCCTCTCAAGTCAAGCCGTCTGCATGAGTGAGTGAATGAAGAATGGATGGACAATGCAAGAATGAATGAACGAACAAATGCAGGCACAGTTGTCTCTCTATGGCTCCCTTCCTCTTCTCTTCCGCGCTGCGCTGCGCTGCTCTGCTCTCCTCGGACGATACTCTACCTCGGGCGAGTCGATCAGCAGTCCGAGACTATCGACATTCACAAGCGTGCCACCATCTTCCTTGTTCTTTCTACTCACTCCTCCCGCAATCAACAGTCAGAATCCGACACAGCCTCGAACCCAACACAACAAATCCAGCCCAGCCAAACCGAGCCCCGCCCGACCCGGCCCGGCCCTGCCCACCCCAACCTCGTTCGCTCCGTCCCTCCGCGGAGACTCCCTTGGCTTCGGAAGGCCAGGCCAGGGGAACCGGAGTTACCAAACCCGGTCAGTCCATCGCGAGCGAGGGTCCAGCCAAAGGCGGAGCAGGACGAGGAGCTCCCTCCGCTCCATGCTGGAGAGGGCTGCTAGTGTAGAGAGCGCTGCCCTGGCCTGCCTGGCCTGTCCGACTCGGCTAGGCTGTCGCAATGCTCGCTCGCGCGCTCTTGCTCTCGCTCGCTCGACGCTCTCTCTCGCTCACACGACGACCGTCGGCCTGGGCCTGGCGCCTCACGACAGACGAGCACAGCGGAGGCAGGCCGGATGACGACGAGGGAGGTGGCGAGACATCGTAGGTCTAGGAGGCAACGACACACCCAACGACGAGCAATGGCAGCCACCCACGACAGCTCCGCCCGCCATGGTTCAGTCCACCTGACGACGTAGTTTACTAGGCCGCGTTTCCACGTGGCTCCTGGCCACGTGTGCCAAGAGATGAGATGGTCTGCTTCCCTTTCCTCCGTTCCTCCCTTCCTCCTCCTCCGCTTCAGCTGCCCCCCTCTCTCTCTCTCTCGAAATTCAAGTTTTGAACCTCGCGACTGATTAAGCTTATTCCCGTCTCCTCCCCTTCCCGATTTAGTTGACTTAATATGGTACTAGTACGTTGCGGACAGGATTTGCTCTCGTTCTGGTTCTAGTTTAGACCTACTTCCGTCCTCCTCCGTCGCCCGCGTCCATCTCGACGGACCCGACGACTTTGCATCTTTGTCGACGTTTTGAATTTCTGAAAGCACGAGTGGTGTGCGTGCACCATCGAGGGTCTACAAAAGGCTTCCTCCGCTTTGACGAGCTGAAATCATGAATCGTCTCCCCTTCCTGCTCAAAGGAGACATTCCTGGAGCTCGCTAGGCCCCCGGCGCGTATCAAAGGATGGCTTTTCGTATCTTAGTTGGTAGGTTTGTTTCACTTTCCGGTGTTGCTGCATGACCGATAGGAATTGTAAGAAGCGATTGCGGAGAAAAGGTGACGCTGTCCTCGTACTGCCAAGGACGGGAACTGGTGAGGCCAAAAAGATACGAGGAGCGTTTTGTAGATGGACCGCGAAAGAAGAAATCATGATGGTAAGAATATCTCTGTGACCGTGCTCTTCTTTTTCCTCGCTAAATTTGGCTTTATATCTCTTGTCGTTGGCTTTGTTTTGGGTCTATGCGGAGAAACGGTTGGAGGTGCCTAAAGCCTATCTATCCATTGTGATGATATCAGTTATTACAACTCAAGCCGATGAATGGATGTGCAGATTGACTCGTTCCTCTCGTCAAAATATCGAAGGAATATTCAACGAAAGGTAAATCTTGATATCTCACTTTCACATTTTTCATTGATATCTACACCAACAACATCCGTACCGCCCACGGAAGACATATTGAAATTTTGAGTCCTGATTATCCAAATGTATTTCAAATGTACAGCTGATCTTTTCAAGAGCTACGACCTTTCAAGCCAACTTTCACATTTCGCAGATAAAATTAAAGAAAAGACAAAGTAATCTTCAAACGCGAACAGGTTCAGACATGATTGACATCTCTCTACTCAATGATCAAAGTTCTTCACGAACTTTTCAGGTATTATTTTTAACATTGCATAAAAGCTAAACATTGAATCTACTTCTTATAGACATAAGGAAGACCATCAGATATTGGAGTATATAAAAATGAATATATATATATATATATATATATATATATAACGGCTTACAGAAACTAATTCATGCAAGTCTATGTTTTGCAATAAAAAGTTAAAGATTACTCAACTTTTTGAATAGCTTGATAGATTTGAGAATATTTTTATACCATTTTTTTAGAACATCATATTTGTATTATATATTTTTTTAATTCTTCTTCGTTTGACATTTAAAATCAAGACATTAAATTTTGAAAATTTTCTGAATAAGATAACATCTTAACAATTGCTTATAATCTTCTATAGAGTTGGTATTAACTCAGATCTATTTTTATCAAAGTAGTTAAACCTTAGTTGAGATTTAGGTTTTGTGGTTTTGAGAGGTAACCAAACTTCTTGTTGAACATTTTAGGTTTTTATCACTAAAACTTACTTGTTTTTCTCGTAAATGTAGCTCACATTGACAAATCACATAATTTTGTATCCGTGTTTTTTGTGTGTGTTTGTATCAGAGTTTCAATGTGTCTGTTTTTTTATATGTGTGTTTGTGTTTATGTGAGAATTTCATCAATTGGTATCAAAACTACAATAATGGACTAAGAGTTTTTCAAAGGTTTCTTGTGTAGAGTATTGTTTCTATTCCTATTTCTATTGGATGAATACTTTGAGAGATTTTGAAAATCATACCTTTTTTGGTTTTGAGGGAAGGATGCAGAAAAGAACAAGAATTAAGAGATAAGAATTCTGCAAGTAGACTTTCATAGTTGAGTGTAGTGGATAGTGTTGATGATTGTTTAGGCTTTATGCAATGATGTGTTGCAAAAGTTGAAAGCCTTAAATGTGAAAGTTTGGAATAATCTGTCCAATCATCAAGCAAGAAATCTAAGTTTTCAAAATATTGGTTGGATGCTTAAAGTTTGTAAATCTGAACAGACATACAATTTTCTTTGTTAGAAAAATATTGATATTATACAACCTATGATATCCTATGGGTGTGTGTACTCCATCAATAAACTTTTCAATTATGATTCAGATGTTTTACATCTTTAATTGAAGATTGTTACGGCCGAAACTAACTTCTAAGCCTTTGCATTTAGTTTGTTAATCCAAACTCTACACTCGAAATTGGAGAAAGATTTCACGCTGCTGCATTATTGCTTAATAATAATTTAGGAATGTTATAGGAAGTTCAACTTCTGTGGCTTGAACATTTTTGAAGAATACATGACAAAGTTTAGTAGAAATACTAAGCAATAGTGGTGAAGGAGTTCTAATTGGAGCTAGCGGTAGTTGGAGCGAGAATGTAATGCACAAGAAGCAGAGTTTGATGAGGCAGATAGAGAGTAATCACCGCGCTCTTGAAACTTGTATGTTTCATTTGTTGGCAGCAATGTTGGAGTAAAAAAAATTGACATTTGAACAAGCAATGGATACACATTCACAAGCAACTATCGTGAATGTATATCAACTTCTAAAACGATTGGTCGCCATGTGAGCATGATCTAAGAAGATAACATAATTTTTGAACTAATACACCTGAAATTTCTTATCCTATCCTGACTTTCAATATTAACTAGTTCATTTCTCTTTAAGCCCCTTTTTCTTTGCGCACTTTCTTATTTTTATCTATATCTACGTCATGTTCATCGTCATAAGTTAGTCTAGCTTGATTAGAAGCTTCAAAAATAATCCTACCATCATTCTCCTCCTTGCCTACTTCTTCATCTCTTTGTTTGACTTTTACGTCAACTACCTACGTCTACGTCCTTGTCAATGTCATAACTCTATCTAGCTTGATCGGAAACTTCAACAATAGTCATATCATCTTTCTACTTTGCAATTCCTATTTCAGCTTTCCGTTTGACTATTACATACGCTTCACGCTCAATACTGCCATCAAATGCCAATTGTTGCGTACCAACTGTCTTAATTCCAATTCTCTCAGAGCTTCTGATTTTTTCCATAAATATTGAATATCAATGCATTTTTGCATGTTGCATACTTCTTTTCTTGCGCTATCACTCGTCAAATATTTGTTTTCTACAGTTGATCTGATTTCCACATTAATTTCATCAAAAATGCAGTTCCCCAAATAGTGCATAAGCTTGGTCACCGTATCAGTTGTTAGAATATCTTCAACCATGTCATCCACTTATAGCGCAACTATCAAAAGACATGTTGCAGAAATTCCTTACATTTTACGATCCATCACTTCCAACGGTTTCTTATTGAGGTTCTTGAAATCCTCTTTTTGAAGTTTCCATCCCGTCAATCATGGTCTTAAACATATCCTCTATGAGCCACTACAAAATACTAAGAAGTACTTGGTAATAAAGAACATGAGTATACTACATATGCATATATATCAAGCAAGATAAACAAACTAGAAGTAATCTAAACAACAGCATTACGAACATCAAATTGAAGAATGACGTAGATGTAGGTGAAAATAACAGACGACGCAAAGACAAATAAGACTCAAATAGATGAAAAATAATCAGTGGAGAAAGATGTGGACTGTAATACCAGATGTTGTATGTGTGAAATATAACTAAAAATAGCCAAGGCGTTAATCATGATTAGCTTAGTTATAACTAAGTCTAGCTTGTTATAATTAAATGTGTCAAGTTATGAGTATGTTTGGTTATAATATCTATACTTAGCAAAATAACTAGTGGAGTTTTAGAAGATTTGAGTGAGCATAACTATTTTATTTTCTATCAAAGCCTAGATTTCAAGGAAAAAAAATTTTGACTTCATGTTTAATTTTGATTGGTTTGACTAAATATTGGAATTTCCATTGGTTACACTAAATCGAATATTGACTTAATGGCAAATGAAGGTTTAAAAAGTTAGAACAAATTATTTTTTTGCCACGTCAATCTAGAAATTAGTAAACTTCTGGAAGATTTAGGAGGCCAATGGCATGTTATCACGTATTGGAAAGTTGTCAAACTTACTATGATTTATTTTTGTAAAAGTAACTTAGATAGAAAATATCATTTACTACTATGAGAACTTCTCAAGTAGTTTGTATAGAGACGTATGGAAGAAACTTTCAAACAAGTTTGAAGAGTTCATGTGTAGAAACTTGTTTTATACGAGAAAGATTGACTTCTTTAGCATCTTGAAGTGTCAATGTGTATGTAATTTGAGTGATGAATTGAGTAAATATGTGAAAGGGTGTTTGGTACATGAGTATAAAGAGAAATCCTAGACTTCTAGAACCATTATGAGATACCGCAAAACCATTTAAGGTAAGCATGAGTGACAATCAGCACGAAAGTTGTAATCTTTTATTCCATTGTTGAGAGTTCAATGTAGGAAAACAAAATATTTAGGATTTGGTTTTTTGCTCAAGAAAAAAT